GAGAGAGAGAGAGAGAGAGAGAGAGAGAGAGAGAGAGAGAGAGAGAGAGAGAATATGAGAGAGAGACAGGGAGAGATGCAGGGAGACAGCCAATCAGGAGAGAATTAAAAAGAGACAGAGACACCCACAGAATTTGTCAGGGCCACCATGAGTGCCCTGAGAAAGACCCGCAAGAGACAGAGTGGGTCATGGGCGTGGGCTCTGGATCCCATCAATGCCCATGTGGTGTCATCAAGGAGCAGGTTGGAGACCCAGAGCCTGAGAGACTGAAAGAACATTTATGCACACATGCATTCACTCATTCTATATTTACTGAGTACCGTTCTAGGTCCTGGAAACTCACTAGTGAACAAAACACACGTGGCACCTGCCCTCTTGGAGCTCATGACCAAAAGAAATGTTTTGAAGAATGTTAGGTAAGGATAAGTGTTAAGAAAAATAACAACAAAGTTGGGGGAAGGGCATGAGAGTGACAGAAGAAGGGTGGCTATTTTATTTTATTTTTATTCTTTAAATAGAGATGGGGTCTTTCTATGTTGCCAGGCTGGCCTCAAACTCCTGGACTCAAGCCGTCCTCCCACCTTGGACTCCCAAATTGCCGGGATTATAGGCATGAAACACTGCACTCGGTCGAGGGTGGCTCTTTGATAGGGGTGGGCAGGGAAGGTATCTGAGGTGACACTGGAGCAGATGGAGGTGAGGGTGAGGCACGTGGAGGTCTGGGAGAAGGTGCTGAGGGTGTGAGGATTTTTGCTTTTATCTGGAGAAGATGGGTGCCCTGGGAGGAGGGGCAGGATGTAACCTAGGTTCTAACAGGAATCCCAGGCCAGCTGACCGGAGAATGGCAGTGGGGCCGAGTGTGAGCAGAGAGCCCAGGCGGCAGCCATGATAGCCTCCCAGGCAGGGGACAGAGGCAGCTGGCCCAGAGTTGGGCCACGGAGGCCAGGAAAGGTCTGTCCAGGTATGTTCGTTGCTGAGGACTCACTGGATAGATGGTGCTGGGCACTGGTATTAAGGTTGTCCTGAGGTCAAGTAAGATGCCACCTGAGCTGAGGCCACTGGTTTGGGAGTTGGGCAGGGGAGGGTGACCCCAGGACTAGCAGTAGTGGGACACGAGGAAGTGCAGGTGTCCCTGGGGGTCGGAGAAGAGACTTTATTTTTAACCTTCCTCCTGTTCCTCCTACTTCCTCTCCCTTCTTCTTCTTTTATTTTTTTAAAATTTCAACCTGGGACATACTTGAGTGTGATTGAACACTGGGGGAAGAACTGGCAGAGGGGAGAAGTTGTTGGAGACACAGGGAGGGATGGCTGGCTGGAGGAGGTTGAGGGCCTGTGAGATGGAGGGCCCAAAGCCCAGGAGGGAAATGTGACCTTGGCCCTGGAAGGCAGTTCCAACTCTCTGGTCCTGAGTAAAGCATTAGGGACTGATGGGAGCACACGTGACCCCGAGGCATCGCAGACAGCTGAGGGACCTTCCCCGCTGTCTGCAGAGACACACAAAGACTTCAGCGCAGCCTGGGGCCCATCAGGTGGGATCCTGTGTGCGAGGCCAAGAGCTCCCTCCAGGGAAACACAGGCTGGGCTGACTCTGGGTGGCAGTGTGGCAGGCAGGGTGGGGGGGGGGAGGGCAGGTAGCAAGGGACCATGGGAAGGCCGTGAGTGAGGGACTGAGCCGGGAAGGCAGGTGAGGCCGGTGTGTGGGGGTGAGAGTGTGCATGAACAGGCTTGTTGGATGTGTAGGGAGCCTCTCTGCCTGGGGCTGGATGGCCCTGGTACAAACAGAATGACCCTTTGGAAAGCAGGAGGGAACTCCCAGAGCTTCAGTTTCCAGATGTCATCTTTTTAAAGTTTTGTTTCATTTGTGTCATACCTTGAACATATTCTACTAACACAGTGCATGTGCACGGATATTGCATAAATGTGCACGTATCGTTCAGCAGGCATTTCTCACGGATTAGGGGCTGATTGGAGCAGTTGGAAACCATGGGGAGGAGAGCCTGCCCCTTCAGGAGGCACTGGGGGGCACATGTGCCTCCCCTGCCCGTGAATTGGTCCACTTCCTCTACCCCGGCTGCCACTCAGACTGTCTCCTGGGTCCTGCTCTCTTTCTCGGTAGCACTGCGGGGCTCTGGACAGCCTCATCTGGGGCCCAGCACATCTCTCCTGCCCCTATACCCATCCTTGGTCTAGCCTGATTGCTCAGCTCTGTGCCCAGTGCCTCCCCTTGAGCACACAGTAGGTGCACAGACGGTTGCAGATGACAGAATGGCAGGAGATTCTCTGGCAGCCCTGTTTTGGGGATCCACAGTGAGTCCTCGGCTTCCTGCCCCCACATCCAACGCATCACAGAGTGAGGATACACCAGGATCTGTGGGCTACCCACCTCGCCAGCCCCAGCCTGCCAGGCTTCTGTCACCTCACACCTGCTAGCTGCAGCAGCCACCTCTTCGGGCTTGCAGGCCGGCCTACCCTACCTTGTACAGTCTATTCTGTTAAGACCGAATCAGGGGTGTCTGTCCCTGCTCAAAACCCTGCAACGACCCCATGACACTCAGAGCAAAAGGCAAAGTCCTTCCATGGCCCCATGGCCCACGTGGCCCTCCCTCCCTCATCGCCTCTATGTCCTCTACCCACTGCCCCTCTGTCCAGCCACACCAGTGCCGCCTGGCTGCCCCAGACTCACAACGTGGTCCCTCCCCGCAGCTTCACAGGGCTGATCCCTTTGCAGGAACATTCCCCAAATATCTAGTCGCCGCACTCATCACGAGGATTCAATGTCACCTCCTCTGAGACATCGCCTGGAGTGATCTGACCCCAGCCCCCCGCCACTCCTGGCTCCCTGGCTCCTTTATCCTGCTCTGCCACCTGACACAGCTGGTATCTCCATGTCACCTCTTTCCCCCACTGGCCCAGGAGGGGGCATGCTATCTATCTGCTACGTCCCCAGCACCTGGGATGGCCTGGCCCCTGGTCAGTGCTCAGCAAAGCTCTGTGGGATGAGGGAATGAATGGCAGTTAAGGAGCCAGATTTCCAGTTCTGACGCTGCTCATCTTGCTGTGCGGCCTGGGACCCATCCTAGCCCGTCTCTGGGCCTTGTCCTCTGAGCCCAGGGAAGGCCTCTGGGATGGGCCTCCCCCTGCCGAAGGGAACAGACCCCACAGTTGCCCACGGCCCGCCAGTCCAGCTCATACCTCCTGCAGCCACCGCTTGGTGTTGTTCACCACCTGCTCCAGCCGTCTCATCTGCACACCCAGCGAGTTCCCCGGATGTGGCTCCTTGGCCAACAAGTCCTCCTGGAAGCTGCTGGAGCCCTTGATGTCCTCAGTCGCTGGCAGGCAGGGCTCAGGCTCAGGCAGCAGGAAGGTGTAGCTGCATGGGCCGTGCTGGATGTAATGCTTCCAGTAGCGCCTGCCGGCCTCCTGCCTTGCCCAGTGAGCCACAGTCATGGTGGCCCCCACGAGGAGGAGGCCACCCAGCAGCACGGCCAGCCTGGAGAGCATCCCAAAACGTAGTGATGGTGAGCGGTGTCGAATCAGAGCTCCTAAAGACTATGCCTGCCTGTGGTCCAGCCTGTGACCTGGGTGTCCTGCAGTGCCTGCAGCAGCTGGGCCGTCCGCAAAGTGCTGCAGCTGCACGCCCCTGCTTGCCCCGCTCTGTCCAGGCAGCTATTTATACTTGCGCTGAACACCACAGCTGCTCACACCCTCCCACCTCCTCTGTTCCCACCCACTAGGCACCTCTCTTCTTTCTGAAACACTTTCATAAAATTAATATAGGGCCACAGAGTGAAAGCTGTCAATGAGTCCTGAGCCCTGCAGAGGTGCAACTAGGTCAGAAGGGAGCAGATCTGAGGTTCCTTCCATAGAAAGAACTGATTGTCTTCATGTCCAGGCCCTGGGGGTGGTGGAAGCCACCCGCAGTGCTATCCACATATCTCCCCTTCAGCCCTGATCTTAAGGTTGCACAGATCTCCTTGAGGGTATCCTGAAGCCTGATCAGCACTGATCTGCGGGTACCCCAACTCCCACATACCTTCCTCCTAAGCTGCTTCCATAAGGGCTCACTGCCCAGGGCCATGTGGTCGCTGATCCAGGAACCAGTTTTACAGATGGAATCAATGGTGACACCCAAGAGTGGTGCTGGAGATGGTCTTCAGACCTTGCGCTCTGGTGGATCTGAAATCCTTCTCAGAACGGGACACATACCAAGACACTGACTCTAGTGGCCCTTTGAACCCCTCCCAGAGCTGACTGTGTGACACGAAGATGGTTTCAACACCCCCATGACTTCACCCCAACCAATCATCAGCACCTGTTCCCTTAGCTCTCTGCCATCAAATTATTCCTGTAAAAAGTCTAGACTAAAATTCTGGAGGAGGTAGATTTGAGAAACAGCCCCGTCCTGGCTCGGTGGCCTTGCGATATTAAAGTCTTTCTGTGTTGTAATGGCTGCAGCAGCCTGGGTTTTTCCGGGCAGTGGGTGTAAGAACCCAGTGGGCCTGTGATATCACTCGCTTCCCCTCCTCTTCCTCCTCCTCACTTCTGCCCACACGCTGCCCTGGCTGTGCACAGCTTCGCTCTGCTGGCCTCACCCCAGTGGGGCTGGACCTCCCCGCAAGAGGGAAGGAAAGGAAACACACAGACACGCGCACACACACTCACACACATGCAGATACCACACCCAGCGCTGTCCCTCCGGAAAGCCAACCATCACTCGCCCCTCCTTCCTGTCCCTGTCTCTCTGTCTCTCTCTGTTTCTCTCCTTCCCTCCACCTCCATCCCCTGTCCCCCAAAGCTGGGATCTCACATTTCAGCCCCCAACACCCTCCCCTTCTCTCCCTGCTCTGCTTTTCCCCCTCTGGTTCCCAATACAAGTGACTCCCAGAGGGACACGGTGGGGGGGTTGAGGCCGGGAGGAGGCAGTGGAGACACCTAACATCCATCTGAGACCCGGAAGTGGGTGTCCCAACTGGGAACCAGTTCCTGTCCTTCCTTCCTCCCTGGGGCCCTGGGGTGACCTTATGCCCTGGAGTGGCCCTGACTCAGATTCTAATGACACTAAAGAGAAATCGTCCTGTCCTAGGGTACATTGTCCTGGGGCCGCCTGGGGTTGGAGGGAAAAGATGGGGAAGAGGGTGGTGGGGAGAGGTCCTCAGGGTGCAGCAGTGTCTCAGGCAGCTCGGCCCAGAGTCAGGGTGCTGGCTGTTAAGTCCCACTCCCTCAGTACTGGCTGTGAGAACGTGGGGGCACGGCTTGGCCTCTCGGGGCCTCCACATCCTGATCTGTCAAGCAGGGTAAGCCCCATCTCTTGCAGGAGGAATGCATGAGAGTCCTCATGGGGATGGAGGAGTTGTTGGTTTATTGGTTTAAATCTTGGCTCCACCACATCCCAGCTGTGTGACTATGGGCAAGTCACTTAACCTCTCTGTGTCTTTGTTTCCTCTTGAATGAAGAAAATAATACCACCTACTTCATAGGACATGAGAAATGGAGCTGGAGCAGGGCGGGCACAACTGAGTACTCATTAAATCTGTTCCCTTGTTGTTGGCCTTGTGGCTACTCTTGTGCCTCCCCTTGCCCAACCCACTGGAATGTAGCCCCACCAGGGCAGGGATCTGTCCCCAGGGGCCATGGTCTCTGGGCAGGAGGTGCCCAGGGCTTCATCAGCCTCTCCTGGGCGGGCTGCCTCCGGGCTCAGCCATGGTACCGCTGCCCGTGCCCTTGTTTTCCCAGAGTGAGGCCAGGCCGACCACTGTCTGATGTTGTTTTTTTTTTCCTTTGTTTTCCCAAATCCTGATGGAGTTTTGAACTCGACAGTCAGCTTGGGGGCAACAGTGAAACAGGGTCTCACCTGGGAGACTGAGAACAGTAAACCAGGTGCGGGGCATTGGCAGGAAGAGCTGAACAGATGGTTTCCAGCTGCCAGAGTCCCCCGGGCCTTCTTGGGCTCAGAGTTTTGCGAGCCCAGCTCTGCCCAGTCACCTCGGCTATACATGGGTTCGCAGCATCCTGACCACGTGAGGAGGCAGTGTGACCATGCAGGCTGAGAGCCTGTCCCAGCGCCTGGCACAGAGGGGCCCAGAGTGCCTGTGGCTATCACTACGGTGGTCTTGGCTGAGCTGCTGGATGACCCCAATGAGACCAGTACTCATCCTTCCATTTGACAGAGGAGAAAACTGAGCTCCTCCCAGAGAAGAGAGTAATTTGCTTAAGGACACACAGCTTGACCTAGAACTGGAGAGAGAAGGCAGGCCCGGCCCCAGAGCCACGGTGCTCTCAGCCTCGGTGTCCACATCGGTTCGCTGCAGACAGCATTACCAGTTCCTCGGGGTTGGTGTGAGGTCCCCGGACACAGGGATCTTCCTAAAGGAGAGAATGAGGCGATGAAATGTGATTTCCTTCCCTGCTCAAGCTTTCTTAAGCAGACAAGGTCCCGAGATGGCACAGATGGCTCTTAGCACAGGAGAGGAGATGGATTTACCCACAGGAGGAACACAGGCAGGACCAGATGGGGAGCTCTGGGCTGGGGCACATGCTGGTGTGCTTTATCTGCCCGTGCCATGCCCAGGGCCAGGAGCCTCAGAGACAGCTCTGCCAGCCTCTGCACCCCATTTCAGCACCGCTTCCTCACTCAGGGCTTTTGCAGGTGCTGCCTTCTTTTTCAGAGCACTGCTGTCCCCCCAGCCTTGCCCTCGGCTGTTACCAGTGTTCCAGTTATTACGGCCGGACAGTCTGCTTGGGTCTCTCATGAAGTTACAGTAGGATGGTGACTGAACTGGGATCACCCTGAAGGCTTTACCCCTCACCTGTCAGCACCTGGACCTCTCCCTGAGGTCTTTTCGGGGATGTCTTCAGGCAGCCAAGCTTTTAATCTGGCCGCTCAGGGCCACAGAGGCACAGAGCCCAGAAAGCTGGGCGGAAGCCAGATGGCCTTTTATGTCCTCGCCTAGGAAGTCATTCAGAGGCATGCCCACATCTTCTACTGGCCAGGTCTGCCCAGGCTCGAGACAGAGAATGCAGACCCAATGGAGGAGCAGGCATCACGTGGGGCCCAGTCGCCCTCTCCAGAACCTGCCCTCTGCCACAGACTGGAGAATTTCTTCTCATGCTCTTCAGCTTCAGGGTTGCTGACACTTTTTAAAAACATTTAAAAAAAATTGTGGAGATGGGGTCTCACTATGTTGCCCAGCTGTTCTCCAACTCCTGACCTCAAGTGATCTTCCTGCCTTGGCTTCCCAAAGTACTGGGATTAAAGGCACGAGCCACCACACCTGCCTCGTTGCTGAGGCATGTTCCCACAGACCCCAATTCCGATCCAAGTTCTGAACCAGAACTCCCTCCTGCAGACCTTCCCTCTTTATCTGAGCCCTACCTCCAGGCACTGAGAGGCTAACTCTTCGCCTCCTTCTGTGCACCCCAGCATCTGAAGCACAGTGTGTCCTTGGTTGTGTCGGCTGCATGAATGAGTCAGTACAGAGCTTGAGCCAGGCTCCCTCTGTGAGGCTGACAAGGAGAAGGAGGCCAGGATGCCATTCTAGGACCTGGAACAGAACCCTAGGGGCAGGCCTCCTTCCTGGGCTTGCGGACCAGTCCAGCGCCACAGGTCCCGAGCTTAGATACCCTTGGAGTGATGCTCTGCTGCCACCTTCTTGAGTTTCTTAACTTATTCCGAGCAAAGGGCTCAGCACTGGCATCCTGGGCTCCACAGATGTTGCGCTGGGACCCATCTGGAGACGTGTGCCTTCCCTCGACCCTCGTCTGCTCCCTCCCCTGCCATCCTACCAGGCCTGTTCTTCCCACCTTCCCTCAGTCCCTGCTTCACTATTCTGGGCACATTAGAGCCAGGCTGTGGGAAACTGTGGTCTTGGCTGCATTGCTTAACCTGCTTGTCCCTCAGTTTCCTCTTGTGTCAAGAGGGGTTGATAATAGTAAGTACCTGAAGTGACGTTAAAGCCGTTCAAAAGCTGGTCCCGGTAAAGGGCTAACACAGAGCCTGGCACAAAGTCTGGCTGTCTTTTGATGGTGTCACTTGCTGGGGACTGAGTGACTCTGTCCCTTCCGACTGACCCACCCCTCGCCACAGTGAAGACATGAGGAGGCAGGGCCGTCAGGAGCGGCTGTGTCAAGAGGACTCTGCCCTCATGGGTGAGATAAGCGCCCGCATAAAGAAGCCCCGAGAACTGCCCCCCC